CCTCACTGAAAACACTGATTTAGTATAAGATATTCTTCAATAATTCACATATTTGCCTAAAAAAAAAAATCTTATCTTTCCCAATTCTGAAAAAGATATAAGAAAGTCAAGGAGACAATAATATGCCTGGATCTCTATCTCTACTCCTGAATTTACAGTGCTAGAACTACCTGGTAGCCTAGAATAATCTTGTTATGTCTGTAATAGAAAATTGGTGGTTTGGCATCAACCCAACCTTTCTGCTAGTCTTATTCATCATTTACACCAGAGGTCATTGTATGTTTTCAATCAAGTCTTGCTTTTGTAACTGCAGTTCTACCAGGGTCTTTGGCCCACACCATGTTCTAGTATTTTTTTTTTTACCACTGTTGTGATACCACATTGTGTTATTCCACGACTTGAAAGGATTAACAGAGAAGATAAAATCAGAACTTAGATCTAGAATCCTATTCCTGACTTACAACTAGAGTCATTTTCACCAAACAGTCTGCACAAGGCCTTCTGTTCATAGTAACACTTTCTGGAATGCCAAAATACTCATCTGTAGCACAAAGAAAGACATTCATATACTTAAAGGCTACCTATGCCTTTGCTAATTTTCTATTACCAAACCACCGTGGTTCGTCAATGTTCTATCTTGGCTCCATCCTATGTCCTATAACAGCTCTTGTCTAATTTAATAACTTACTAGTTTGGTCATTCTTGGTCTGGCCCAACTACTGCCACCGCAGAATTGAGGGTGGGAGGGAATGGCATGATTGAAATGTGAAGGTACAATGTATGGTCAACACACTGACTGTAATCCTGTTGATGGTGAAGACACTCATTCCCAGGGATGCTAAATACCTTGTGCAAGCAACTTGCCCAATAGGCCAAAGATATAATGTGTTGACAAGCAGTAGTGGCAGGTGAGTCCGAGTTTTAACCAAATTCTTCTTATAGGAGACATGGATATTGACCCAAGAGCTGTCTCTGACCAGCTCTACCATTTTCTTTTGAGTCATTTAAACTTTATGGGCCTCAGCTTTTTCATCAGGAAACTGGGCTACATAGCATTGTTTAATTTTTTATATTTTAAATTATTGTACATTTTATCATTATATTTATCACATATTTTCATCTATCCTACACACCTAAATTTTTTGAAAAACCTTGTTATTCTGTGGCTCTTTAAGGCATTTAAAATACAGCAGCTAGTTATTTAATCTCCCAAATAAAAAGGAAGAATGTTTGGAAACCCACTTCCTATATCTAGTCAAGACCCCATAGACCACAAGTCAATCAAAGCATATCAGGAGTTACATGATATAACAGTTTCTTCAAAAGTTCTCAGGAAACTAAAATAAATGTGGGCATGACTGACTGGGTAATTAAGAAGGCTGAAATATGTGATTCTAACCTTGAATCAAGGAACACTGACTCAGAGAGTAATACATAAACAAACAAAATTATCAAGGGGAAAATCTATAAGAGACATTCCTCATTCTGAGCTAATATCATGAGCCATGCAGGGAAGAACTGAGACACAGAGGCAAAAGGAGAAACACAAAGATTTTACAGCTCTATCTGAAAAGGAAAGCTTTATGGAGTAAATTAAGAAAGGCATACCATATGCATTCCTACGGACCATATGGAATTAAGTGGTGGACTTAACTCCCCTCCATGTCCAAAATCCAAAGGAATAAATAATTAAGGCCTATGAACATAAACACTAGTGACTGGGTTGTTGGTATGTAACTTTGCTTGAAGCAGGTTACGCATATGAAGAATCAAAGAGAGAACACAAATAACTATGTTTTCTTCTTCCTTCTTATATATTACTAATTAAAGACCAAGAATCTATTATGACATCCTTAAAACATCTTTCTCACTGCCTAACACTCAGGTTTTATCAGAACAAAGTCAGTCAGATGGCTTGTTACCCAGCCTCCAAGATGGCTACCAAGGATTCCCGCCATCTGGTATTGACAACCTTGTGCAGTCTGATCCCACATGGTACAAGGGTTGGTCTGTGTGACTAGCAGCATCTGGCAGAAGAGATGGTAAGATGGTGTATCACTGCTGAAATTAGGTCACAAAAAAGACTGCTGCTTCTGTCTTGGGCTGGCTGTCTTGTATGCATGTTCTTCTCACTCCCTTCTCCCCTCCCTCTCTGGAAAGCAAGCTGCCATGTTGTGAGCAACCCAATGGCATAGAACTGATGCTTCCAATCACTAACCACTGAGAAATAATAGCCAGTGAGACCACTTGGCAACCACATGAATAATCTTAGAAGAGAATTCTGTAGCCCCAGTGGAGCCTCGAAATGACTGAAAAACCCAGCTACATTATAACCTCATGAGAAACCTTGAGCCAGGAGCACCTAGTTAGTCGACTCCCATATTCCTTACTTGGAGAAAGTGTGTGAGATAAAAATTGTTTGCTGTTTCAAACTGCTAAAATTTAGTATAATTTATTCCACAACAACAGATAACTAATGCAGATGGCAAGATCTGGGATATAAAATACTCTGTTTAAAAGCTGCCCAATCAAATACTCTATATTTTAGTATTCTCAGAAATTAGGCAGGCAAACCAATTTAAAGTTTTATATAAACAGGAGTGCCTGGGTGGCAGAGTCGGTTAAGCATCTGACTTAAGCTGAGGTCATGATCTTAGGGTCCTGGGATCGAGCCCCGTGGGGAGTCTGCTTGTTCCTTTCTCTCTCCCTCTGCCCCTCCCACTGCTCATGCTGGTGCGTGCTCTTTCTCTCAATAAGTAAAATCTTAAAAATTAAAAAATTAAATTAAAAAATACAGTTTTATATAATCATGCAAGCTTGAGTTTTTCCTATAAGTCAAAGACATATCTACTAGGGAAAAAACCTGTGTGAATAAATGTTGGCTACAAAACCCACTTTATAATTTTAACAAACTTAAGCATTTTAAATTCCTTCTTTATTTTACTTTCTCCACTAGAGCCGTTTCAGCTTCACTGAAAACCCAGATCAAGTAGGAGGAAAAAAAAAAAAAGTATTTGAAAGCAGAGATAACTTTCTTTAATTTGTAAAAGAGCAGCTTAAAGACTGCTTAAATTGGAGATAATGGCTTATATGAATTGTGTGAGATGCTGCATTAACTTGTTATCATTAGCACCATTATTAAAACTGTAGCTAAACACCATGTGTCATATAGGGCACAGTAGCTATTTAAAAGACATCATTGGTGCCCTCTGGGAACAGATCAGAAAAGTTCAAAGCTGTGAGTTCCCATCATACTTGAAAACTTTTCCCATACTTGAAAAAACTGGATTGCACTGTATCAATTTATAACTACACAATGTAGGAATTACTAGATGAGCTAATCTTACTTTAAAAATTAAGCCTTAATAAATAAAAATTAGTTTTGAGTTAAAAAAAATTGAAGAAGTTATAAGAGCAAATTCATCAAATAGCAGTTAACTCAAAATTTTCCTTTATCCTTGACCTCATTTTACTGAACTTAGAAATTAAGGAGCTGGCTTCCCCTCATTTCCTTTGTTTCCCCATCCTGGATAGGAATTATTGGATGGACACTTGCAGTTCTGGCAAGCCAGCAGCATTTAAGAGAGGGGGAGAAGAGTCACATCTGGCCAGATCTTCAACTTGTTTCTAGGTCTGCTTTTTCCTGCCTCTCCTGCTGTTTCTTCTGCTTCCAAAAATATGATTAATATCTATGAATTTGTAAAACTCTGCATTGTAAGCAAGGCTGAGGGCTTTCCATCCCAAAGAGATTGAGGTATGGAGTTAATGAGAAGTGAGACTGTGGGGAATGAACAGAAAGATGCCAATGTTAAAGTAATTGAGCATGAATATCAAACACTGACTTGGGAACAGTCTTCATTTGCTGATAGAGAATCTGATCAGCTGGTGGGCAGAGGGAACATGCCCAGATCTGCATTCACTGCCAGCCCCAGAATTTCCAAATCATAACAGCCTATGCATTATAAACTTGGTATCTCTGTTTCCCCATCTAGAATGTTTTCCTTTTTTCCCCCCTTTTTTCCTTCCTTCCCTCCCCCTCTCCTTCTTTCTTTCCTTCCTATGAAAGGTTTCCTCGCTTTCTTCTTTCTGAATTTATCTCACTCATCCTGATGCCTTATAAAGAATTTAAATTTTTATCTCAGTAACTGCTGTTTCTTTCACAATTGTGTGTTATTTGCTAATACCAATTCAGAATAACACAGATGATGGTGTTGTGGCTAGAAGAATTGCTGGGCTATAATTTTTATTTTAAAAACTCTGCATTGCCCTCTAAAACCAGGGAAAGCTTAAATTATTTATTACTGTGATACACTCCTATGTGTCTTCTATCATTCTCAGTTAGATCATCTATACATTCTTCATTGTGGCAAGGATCTCCGGAAGGTTTGCACAATAGTGATAAAATGAACACCTTAATAAGCTGTGTGTAATTATTAATTTCAAGTTGTAATGAATAGTTTTATTCAGAACAGAGTAATAACAGTTTCAAGAAAACTAAAATTAAAGGAAAAAAAACTGTGGTTCTCAAATTCTGGGGACACATAATTATGCATTTTTATAAACACTCATGTACAAGGCTGTTTTTATTAGTTTACAATGTAAAAAACAGACAAAACAAATATAAGTCAATTGGGAACTGGTTAAATTAAATACAGTATATTCATTAAAGGAAATTAAAAATGACTTGAAAAATATATATTAACCAATGAGGTTGTAGGCAGTCATAGTATATATTAAATGAGCCTATATAAACTCATTTAAAATATATATGCATGAAGGACTAAGCATTAATGAATATCTGATGGTGAAGAATTACTAAGACTGTGTTTCCACTTGTCATTTTCCAAATCTCTATTTGAATGTGTATTACAATTGTTATAAAGTTTTTTTTTTAATAACCAAAGAGTCTCTAAATCCCTACACATACACCAAGGAAGCCAGAAAGAACGTAAGAAAGGCAATCATATGCGATCTTAAATTTAAAAGTGTTTGTAGTTTACCTTGACGGCATAATATTCTTTAACTTCAGGCCTAATAGAATCAAAGTCTCCACTGATGAATTCAGGCAAAAAGCTGAAACAAAGAATTCCAAGTAAGTCAACTAATTAAGACTACTTGTTTCTTAACCTTTAAAATTATGCCAAGAGGATGTCTTATACTCTTGGTTTCTATATAGTGTGGTTACGAGTAACTCCACATACCTGACTAATTCATCAACTTAGTCACACTGTCAGTCAATGTTTATCCTGTTTAAAAAATAAAGATTAAAGAAGATTATTGGTTTAAAAATCTCCCAGTTCAGGGACGCCTGGGTGGCTCAGTCGGTTAAGCGTCTGCCTTCTGCTCAGGTCACGATCTTGGACTGCTGGGATGGAGCCCCACATTGGGCTCCCTGCTCTAGGAGTCTGCTTCTCCCTCTCCCTCTGCCCCCCCCCCTGCTCATTCTCTCTCTCTCTCTCTCTCTCTCACTCAGTCTCACTCTCTCTCAAATAAATAAAATCTTTTAAAAAAATAAAATAAAAAACTCCCAGTTCAAAACCCTAACACCAAGACTCATAATCTTTCCATATTACTTTCTACATATATACAAACCTTCACATTATTTTGCCCTCACACAAGTTCAGAACTTCAACAAATTTGAACAGAACAGATGAGGAGGATGATTACGCATTCTCTGCAGAGCAGGAGTCAGTTCAAAGACATTTTCCAAACGCCCTGTTGACATACTTCTAGAAACAGGAGGCTTCTAGACAGGTTTGAAATACTACACAAGTCATTGTTACTAAGTAGAGGGAGAGAACTCCCCAAAACAAATGTTTCCAATTACATCATAATTATCTTATTTCTCTTCCCTACATTTATATTTTTTCAGAACTCTTCCAGAAAGCCTAACTTACTCTATGTACATAAGCCATCCTTTACTATTTTTACATAAAGCATTTGCACGACCTGGTAGAATTTCTTTCCACTTAAAAAACACCTAAGTGTGGAAAAATAAAACTTCCCTGGATTTCTCACTGTTCCTACAAAAAGCCTTAGCCTCCAGAGCCTCTGAAAAATATATTATGTAAAGAAGGGAATGTTTACCTTCATCCTTCAGAAATATTCTACTTTTCACATCCCATGAGAATTAGATCTGCACGCATTTATCTAGTTAATTGTTCTGATTCAAAAGAATAATAAAACTTCAGTACGTCTTCTCAAGAGGGCCAAGTTGCTACATAATAGACTAGATCCCTAGCTAAAAGGAGACCAGAGCTTTAGTTTGCTGAGTATTATGTGTCAAAAGAGTTGAAGCCCCAGAACTTGGAGAAATCTCTAGGTCATAAAAGCCAAGACACATAGGCTATCAGGCTCCTAGAGAGACTCTACTGATATACCAATGAGTTGGGGTTAGGATTCAGGGTCATAGAATTTAAACAGAGACTCTTGCAAGAGGGCAGAAGCTGCCACAACCCTATTAATAAATTTAGGGGGAAAAGTCATATTTCCTCTTCTTTCATATATGCAGGGTGCAGCTACAAGCACACGACAATGGACCTGGTTGTCACTGCAAGGCCAAAGAGTAAGAACTAGAGCAACGGGGCCCGAGGAAATAAGAAACTGGACTCAGAACTCCTTGTATGTGCACTCAGGATAAAATTAATAAAGATGAACATGAAAAACCCAATACTAACTCTGTTCTTTCATGCAAATTTTTTTCAAGTTTTTAACTTAATTGGAAATATTACTTCTTAGGTCTAACCTAATCTAACTAGTCTGTGTTAGGCCAACTCTTCTTTAGCTGTATGTCCCGAAGACAAATGGTAAGAAGTTCTACTACAATGATCTGTACTGCATAAAGTGCTTATATTTCATGGTTGGTTTGTTAACAAATCATGGTAACCTATTGAAATGTTTGGTAATTAATAAAATTTTACATTCCTGAATATCAACCATGTACAAAGGACAATAGTTTGTTTCAGAATAATGCAGAATTGGGAAGTACCTAAGTTTTTAAAATCACTTGCCTGGTTTCAGTTACCTTCCTGTAAACTTTCCTCCTCAAAACGTCCCTGGCCACATATCCATTACCTCTAATTTTATGTTATACCTATTTAGGTAAGTACTTTTTACTCTATTCACATGAGGACCTAAAAACAGACTATTAGCTCTTTCCTCATTGTTTTTCCTGTTGTTAAAATTCATGGATTTTTAAAGTTTTTTTAAAATACCTCCATCAAACAACATTCAAACACCCACAGAACAAAACTCATATAGAGCTCAGAATATTATTATTGCTTGCTAGGGTCTGAATGTTTGGTACCCCTAAAATGTGTATGTTGAAATCTTTTTTTTTTTTAATAATTTTTTATTGTTATGTTAACCACCATACATTACATCATTAGTTTTTGATGCAGTGTTCCATGATTCATTGTTTGTGCATAACACGCAGTGCTCCATGCAGTACGTGCCCTCTTTAATACCCATCACCAGGCTAACCCATCCCCCCACCCCCCTCCCCTCTAGAACCCTCAGTTTGTTTTTCAGAGTCCATCATCTCTATGTATGTTGAAATCTTAACCCCTAACATGATGTTATTAGGTGGTGAGGCCTTTAAGAGGTGACAAAGTCAGAGGATGGCGCCCTCATGACTGGGATTAGCACCCATGTAAAAGAAACCCCAGCTCTCTTGTCCCTTCCACCACATGAGGACACAGTGAGAAGACAAGCATCCATGAACCAGGGAGTAGATCTTATCTTACACTGAACCTTGATCTTGGACTTCCCAGCCTCCGCTGTTAGTAGTAAGTACTTGTTTACAAGCCACCCAGTCTATGGGATTCTTTAGAGCAGCCGGCGAGCATGAGGCATCGCCGGAAGGGGTAAAAGGAATCATTCCTTCAACACCCTCATTACCTTTTGTAAGGAACCGAAATCCAAGAAGTCAAGTGAATTTTGTATATATGGCTAGTATCCAATCTACTTCACCATGTAAAGCAGCCATTTAAACTTAGGACTCTGGTTCTCTACAGTATGAATCATCCAAGTTCCTCATAAAACTGACTTTATATTACTCTACAAATTTTAGTCCCTCAGATATCTAGAATCAACTTGCCAGTTTCCAAATATCATATTAATTTGACAATAAATAAAAATGAAAAATAAAAACTGATACACACAGGCAACTAGTGTCTGTCCCCTTAGGATATATAATTTTAAACAGAATTAGATCTCTTTTTTATCACATACACTGTGAATCATGAAGTAAAGCAATCATATAAATTTACTTATATTTTCATATAAAATATTAACAGGAAAACAAACATATTGATGAAAGTTAACCAATTAACTTTTTAATATAATTTTTTCCAATATAACATACATGCTTTAAAATGAACAAGGAAAAAAAATGAACAAGGATACTTATTTCTAGGAAGGCTCATGCCAAAAATACACCTGATACACAGGCTGATACGGCTATAATAACTATAACTTTTTGTCATAGAATACAGCGGTTTTGGAAACTTCCTGAAATGTGCTTTTGGACAGAGCAATTAAAAGCCCATCTCACATTTCTGAGGCATGGGCTGCCATGGTACTTGGGCATTCTGAAGAGGTACTTACTGGGGATGACACTTCCCAGATACGGATGTATGATGTTACCATATAGAGTTTACACAGGAAGAGTGTTTTCACAACTCTTTGGGGGCTGATTGCTTATAGAAGGTGACTAAGGGTATACGGAATTCTGTCTCCACTGACCATACTTCTGTTCACTGTTGGCCTCGATCAGACCAGTACACCTCATCTTGGTATCCTCCTCAGTCTATGGCACTGATTGGTTGGTATGTAAAGGTGTTCCAAACGCTCAGTAAATGGTGTGGACTCCTTTGACTTTTACATTTAACTCTTACCATACTTGCCCCTCACTAATGACAAAATAAGAGTTCAACAAGAGCCAAGATTAATTAGTAAGCTGAAGATCCATCACATGTAATAGTCAAGAGGGAGGCTGATATATTTAGAAAACATGCCTAAACAATGATGCGTTAGCACCAAGTACACAAATGCTGGTAAGAACACAATGAAGTAAAGGTAGAGGAGGAGGTGGCGGGTGGGAGGGGAGGGGAGGCAACGGGGAGAGGAGAAGATGGGAAAGGGGAAGAGAAAGGCCAGGAGAAGGAAGGCAGGGAAGACAAGAGTGAAAAAGCAGCACTAATTACAAACTTCGGTTATGCCTGGCCCACTATTTCCTAGCTTGTCCAAGTTATTGAACTTTTCTGAGCCTTACTTCTTCACACGTAAAATGAAGATAATTTAGACTGGTTGTGAAGATTAAGAGCTAACCCATGGAAAGCACTTAGAAAATGCCTGGCACACAGTAAGAATGATTTAAAGCTCTTCAGCTAAAATAAAAGTTATTACTAGAGAAGCTAAGTAATGTGCCCGAGGTTGTAAGGCTAATAAGAGCTAGAGCCAAAATTCAAACCCAGGGAGCCCAATCTTTGTTCTTGGACAGCTACGTCTACAGCCTTCCACATATGCACATTTATGAAACGGAGCCAGACTCTGTCACAGAAAGTTCTCTACACAACCACACGACTCCCCTGCAGATTTTATTAATCAGCATTAATTTGGTCAACCTGTATATTTTAAAAATGTATCACCGAAGCAGAAGAGGACAATTTGTGCTGCTTGTTAAGTAAAGATGGGATTTGATTAAAGGAATAGGTCAGGGGAAGAATGTCTGAGAACACTGCTGAAAAGAGTGTGGTTATAGATACAGGGCAAAAAATGGTACTCTGTCTGAAGAAAGGAGGAATTAATCAAAGATTTGAACTAACGTTCTCTGCAAAACTGCATAAATTAAATAAGGGAAGGAGGGGCAAAAAGGGGGGTGATCCAAAATATAATAAGGAAAAATGACTGTGTATATGGAAATAATTAGTTTGACTGTCTTCATAAATACATCTCTAAATGTAATGTCAAAAGATATTTAAATATTTGTACAATTTTGGATAAAAGAGATGTTCTGAGGAAAGAGAAAACATACATTGATAAAGAAACCCAATAGGTTATATAAAAATGTA